TATATGTATATTCTGGACATTAATCCCTTGTCGGATACATAGTTACTAAAAATTTTCTCCCACTCCATAGCCTGTCTTTTCACTCTGCTGTTTGTTTCCCTTGCTGTGAAGAAACATTTTAGTTTGATATAGTCCCATTTGTTTATTTTTTCTTTGCCTACTTGTGCTTTTGAACTCATGTTTCTAAAGCCTGTTCCCAGACCTAATTCCTGAAGGGTTTAGCCTATATTTTTCCTTAGTATTTTTATATTTTCAGGCCTAATACGTGAGTCTTTAATCCATTTTGAGTTGATTTTAGTGTACGGTGAGAGATGCATATCTAGTTTTACCTTCTGCATATGGATATCCAATTTTCCCAGCACCACTTGTTGAAGAGGCACTGTTTTAAAAATGCAGACTTTTGTTGCCTTTGTCAAATATCAGATGGCTAGAAGCCTGAGGAGTGCTTTCTGGGTTCTCAATTCTACTTCACTGTTCTGAGTGTCTATTTTTATACCAGTACCATGCTGTTTTGGTTGCAATATCTTTGTATAATAATTTGAAGTCAGTTAATGTTGTGCCTCTGGCTTCATTTCATTTCATTTTATTTATTTTTTTGCTCAGGATTGCTTTATCAATTCATGGTCTTTTTTTTGTTCCATATGAAAGGTAGGATTTTTTTTTTCCATTTCCGTGAAGAATGTCATTGGTATTTTGATGGGGATTGCATTGAATCTGTAAATTATTTTGGGTACTACAGACATTTTCACACTGTTAATTTTCCAATCCAAGAGCATGGAATAGCTTTCCATCATTTTGTGTCTTCTTTAATTTCTTTCAGAAATGGTATGTAGTTCTCATTGTAGATGTCTTTCACCTCCTTGGTTAAATTGATCCCTAGGTATCTTATTTTTTTTATTTTTATTTTTTTTGTTACAATTGTAAATGGGCTTACTTTCTTTCACTCTCTTAGTTCATTATTTGAGTATATAAATGCTACTGGGTTTAGGGCATTTATTTTGTATCCTGCAACATTACTGAAGCTATTCACCAGCTCTAGGAGTTTTTTGATAGAGTCTTAAGGTTTTTCTTTATATAGTGTCATGTCATCTGCAAATAGAGAAAGTTTGGCTTCATCTTTTCCCATCTGGATTCCCTTTATTTCTTTCTCTTGCCTGATGGCTCTGGCTAGTACCTCCAGTAATATCTTAAATAAAAGTGAGGAGAGCGGGCATCCTTGTCTTGTACTTGTCCTTTAGGGATAGGCCTTGAATTTTTCCCTATTCAGAATGATACTGGAGGTGGACTTGTCATAAATGGCTTTTATTGTGTTGAGATATTTTTTATCTATACCTAAATTATTGAGAGTTTATCATGAAGGGATGTTGAATTTTGTCAAATGCTTTTTCAGCATCTTTTGAGATAATCATATAATCTTTGCCCTTGAGTTTGTAGATGTGATGTATCATATTTATTTACTTTCATATGTTAAATCATCCTTGCATGCCTAGGATGAATCCCACTTTATCATATTGTATAATTTTTAAATATGTTGCGGTATTTTGATTGCTAATATTTTGTTCAGGATTTTAGCATCTAGGTTCTTCAAGGATATTGGCCTATAATTTTCTTCTTTTGTTGTGCCTTTACCTGGTTTTGGTATCAGAGTTATGTTGGCTTCATAGAATGAGTCTGAGAGAGTAGCGTCTGTTTTCAATTGTTTGGAATTGTTTGAGGAGAATTGCTATTAACTCCTCGTCAGCTGTAAAACCATCCAGACCTGGACTTTTTGTTGTTGCTGTTGTTGGAATATTGCTAATTACTGCTTCAAACGTCTTGCTTGTTATTGATCTGTTCAGGTTTTCTATCTCTTCTTGGTTCAGTCTTGGCAGTTTGTATGCATCTAGAAACTTATCCATATCTTCCAGATTTTCATATATGTGGTATTGGTTGTCATTTCTGATTTTTGTTATTTGGGTCTTCTCTCTTCTTTATTTTTTTTTTTGTTAACCTAGCTAATGGCTTGTCTATTTTATTTATCTTCTTGAAAAATCAACTTTTTGTTTGATCTTTCGTGTGGCTTTTCAGGTTTCTATTTAATTTAGTTCTGCTCTGATCTTAATTCTTTCCTTCTGTCTACTAGATTTCGATTTGATTGTTCTTGTTTTTCTAATTTTCTTATTTGTAATGTTAAATTGTTAATTTGAAGACTTTCTGTTCTTTTGATTTAAACATTTAAAGCAATAAACTTCCCTCTTAGAACTACTTTTGCAGCATCCCATATGTTTTGTATGATGTTTCATTATTTTCATTAGTTTCAAGAAACTTTTTGAT